TTTTTTTTTTTAAATATATTGTATTGATTTTTTACAGAGAGGAAGGGAGAGAGATAGAGAGTTAGAAACATCGATGAGAGAGAAACATCCATCAGTTGCCTCCTGCACATCTTCTACTGGGGATGTGCCCGCAACCCAGGTACATGCCCTTGACCGGAATCGAACCTGGGACCTTTCAGTCTGTAGGCTGACGCTCTATCCACTGAGCCAAACCGGTTTCGGCTGCATCTTGTACTTTCAATACAGTTCCAGGTGCAATCAGTTTTTTAAAGTTGTCAATGTTGCACTTGTTGCCCCCTGTCTCAGATGGAACAATGTGGGAATCTGGGACTCTGAAGCTTCATCCAGTCACGAGAGCTGGAACCCCTGTGCTGGGTGCTGTAGGAAGAGGCAAGGAACTCAGGTAATCGAAGCTTCCTGGAGCTTTGGCCCAAACTCCTAGGGGTTTCCATCCAGGGAACAAGCAGGTATGTGAGCCACAACTCCTCGGTTGCCTAGATGAGAGAACATTCCCCAGGCCCTTACCAATCTGTGAGGTGACACAGGATGTAAAAACTGGGGCCCCAAAGAAGAGTCCTTCCAATACACCTGGTCTACGTAGGCTACTTCATTCCTCTCATCTGGGACCTACCATGACCCAGGTGGTCTTCTCAATGTGCAGAAACTCAGCTGTCTAGCCTCCACAGCCCTTCCCTGGCTGGTTTGATAAGACCAGTCTAAAGAGTGGGTGATCCTAAGAGTGAGAGGCATTTGGCTCAAAGACAATGGAGGGTTTACCTATTTCTCTTTCCCCATCAAAAACCACTTTCTCTGCAGTAGTTAGAACACAACTGAGATGTAGACAGTGAAGGGCACGTAATGGGAGATGAGAGTATTAGGTTTTCATTTTCTCTTGATGAGTTTTTTTCATGAGCGTTCGGTTCACCTATCATTTCTAACAAGCATGTTTTCCTCTGGGAAGTTCCAGGGACGTGGAAGTGAGCAGGTACATCTCCTGCCACCATTCTTTGCTTTGTGGCACTTTATTGCCACATCACAGTTTGAAGTCCTTGTCAGATATCATTGCTCCTCATTTTGGGGGAGGATTGGGGTGGGAATAGGGATGAAATGTATACATTTGTGAGACCAACCTGAGAGAATGTTAAGGATTTGTAACCAGACCAGGAGCACATATCACTTCCCCAAAGATTGTCTCTATTGTTGAGAAATATTTGGTTTTGTTTTTATTTTTGAAGCTTACTGCTAAAATGTTGCTGTCAATGTTTAATATTTTGCTCTCTTTTAGCTGCATTAAAATCATGCTTGACATCATTCATTATCATCCATAACGCAAACCCAGGGACTAGCTACTAAAACACAGACACATTTTATTATAAATCGATGAATGAATATATGGTGCTCCTATTTTATTGAAATTAAAGTTTTGCAGCAAATATACTTGATAGTAGAACATTTGAAAGAGATACAGAGGAATTCATGTTTCATTAAGCAGCACATTAAAAACTGGCTCAACTGGATCACCTTGATCCAGCCTACCTAAGCATACACCAGAGTTAGCGTAATGGAGTTAATAGATTATAGGAAGATGTAGTTCATCTGTGGTGGAAACAGAAATTGGTTATGTCACAAAGTACAACCTTACTTTCCTCTAGTATAGTGTGTTCCTTTAAAATAGCTTTATACAGTAACAGGAAAAGATTTTCTATGGTGTGTATATCTGAACTCCCGTTACGTTTTCTTTTAAAGAAATCAATAAAAAATCATTGGCAACAAAACAACCTACCATGTAAGCAGTAATCCTATATAATAAAGATGTAATATGCAAATGGTCTTTACGCTGTGAAGCGTAACAACCAACCCGGAACGACCTGATCACCAATCAGCAGTAGGGTGGGGCAGCGAGCTCCAAGCAGGCGGTGGAGAGCTACAGGAGAGGGCAGGGCAGGAAGCTATGGGGGTGGGGGGACGCTGA